CAGCAGCAAGACAGAAGTACTGATGGTTCAATCCAGGTCGGCCTGTCTTCAGTAGACAATAGCCCTGCCCATGCAGTCTTACTCCAAGTGTTGTTGTTGTTGTTAAGTGCCACCAAGATGGTTCCAACCCGTCGCGAGCCTGTGCACAACAGAATGAAACACAGCCCGGTCCTGCGCCATCCTGACCATTGTTCCTGTGCCTGAGCCCATTGCTGCAGCCTCTGCGTCCATCCATGTCACTGAGGGCCTTCCCCTCCTTCACTGCCCGTCCGCTTTACCAAGCATGAGGTCCTTCTCCAGAAACCGCCCCAAGTACTTAAGACAAAGTGTCGTCAGCCTTGCTTCTAAGGGGCATTCTGGCTGTACTTCTCCAATGCAGATTGGTTTGTTTGTCCTTGCTCCAAGCCCCCCCAAACTATTGCCTTCCAGTCAATTCTGACTCAGAGAGGCCCTACCTGGGGTGTCCGAGACCGTGACTCCGTGCAAGGAGTCAGCCTCGTCTTCCTCCTGCAGCGTGGCTGGTGGCTTTGGCCTGCCGGTCAGCAGCTCACTGCCAAGTCCAGTGTCACCAGGGGCCTTTTCTAGGTACAAAGCCACGATGACAAGCTGCTCTGACAGCGTTGGGGAAAGGGCTCGGGCTACCAGGGAACGCAGGATGGCTGCTTAGATAGAGGAGGTAACATTCCAATTCGGAGAACCTCATTCTGGCCAAAAAAATACGCAGGAGTCAACAGGCCAGAGGTCCAAGGAGCTTGGGTGCCTTCTGAAGACAGGGCTGAGAAGCAGTGTGGCTGGAGGCGAGGGTGCATGGAGGCAGCTCACGCGCTTGCCCTCTCCTCTTCCCAGAGGCCCTTTCGGAAGAGATCTGGAAGAGAGGCACGCTTCATCTGTTTCCTAAGAGCTGGGTGGTGGGGCAACAAGGGCATAAAACACAAGCGCAGGAAGACTGGGACGACTCTCTCCACATGCTGCGTCGTCATGCCATAGACACACAATAGAATGAGAGTGCTGGCTCTGTCACTTCTTGCTCATGCTTTCTTCATGAGAAGGGTGGGGGGCAGGGAGAGAGACGGTATTCGATTTCTCTGGCTGCTGTCACCCATTACCACGAACCAAGTGGCTTGAAACAACATGGGCTTATCATCTCCTGGAGGACAGAAGCCCCAAATGGGCTGCGCGGGGCTAAAAGGAAGTTGTCGGCAGGGCCGTGTGCCTCACAAAGTCTCTCAGGGAGAGAGCCCACGTCTATCCTGTTTCAGTTCTATACTAGAGGTCTCCCACGTGCCTTTCCAAGTCTCCTCTGCTCCTTCGGACTCTGCCAGCCTGGAGAGCCCTTGGGATTCTCCTGGACCCACCGGGTCAAGCCAGGCTCACCTCTCCACCTCGAGGCCCTTAACTGAAGCAAGGTAACACCCAGAAGTTGGGCAGCCTGGGTCTTCTAAGCGCAGCCACCGTGTGGTCAATGGCTGCACTTACCAAATCTGTGTCCCAATGGAGGGGGGTACTTCCATCCCTCACCAGGGCACCACAGACGATGCCCAGACACAGATCCCTCAAGGGGCTCCCCCACATGAACGTAGTGGGCGGTTGTGTTCTTGGGAGAAGCCCGGTTCTGCCTGGGAAGATTCGCCAGCCTTGTCTCTATAGGATGGTCTAGATCAACAGTTCTCACCCTGTGGGTCTTGACCCCTTTGGGGGTGGAACAACCCTTTCCCAGGGGCTGTCTGATTTGTAAAAGTAGCAAAATGACAGTGATGAAGTAGTAACAAACATAATTTTATGGTTGGGGGGTCACACCACATGAGGAACTGTATTAAAGGGTCGCGGCATCAGGAAGGTTGAGAACCACTGGTTGAGATGCTCTTTAGGTCTCTGGGTGGGTTAGGGGATGTTAACCCTAGCCCCAGCTTCACCTACATGAAACTGCATTTGACAACCCAGCTCTCTTAGGATAACCTTGAACCCAGGGCCACACAAACCTAAACCCACGGCCATCAAATCTAGTCCAAACCTGTAACTCTATATACGAGCAGACACCCATCTGGGGCAGTTGAGGGTTTTGAATTGCTGGGACCTTTCAGTTAGCCAGCCAACGTTCATCCCACCACGCCCCAGACCACTTAACGCATCTTGGTCAGGACAAATGCTTTTCACGGGGCTCGGCCAGCCAGCCTTGAACCTCTGTCCCTAGATTAAGCCAGAACCCTCTTCTTGCTTCAGTTTAGTATTAAGACGGCAATCAGGTCTCTATAAAATAAAGCTTCCTGAAAACAGCTGCATCTACTGCAACAGATTTGTGAGAGACGATCATCACATGTCAGCACCTTCCTTCTGCGGAAGCCACAGAAACAAGCCTCGGGCACGGTTTCCCCAGATTCCTGGGCTTCTTCCTATCAGATGCACACGGGCTCTGGGAGCTGATCATTCCCCCCAGTTTGTAATGACTTTGAGGAAGCTCAGAGCCAAATTGTCCTTTTTTGGTTTTGGTAACTCCTTGATAATTTTCTTTCGTTCTTCCTTAAGGTTTTGTTTACTTATTTAACAGTTTCATTGGCATGTGAGTCACGTACCATACATTGAATGGTTCAAATACAATAAAAGGAGTTATGTAATCATCACCACAAGCCATCGGAGAACATTTGCTTCAGTCTTGTACCCTTTATTATTAGCTCCCCGGTAACCCCCAAACTCTCCTGCCATTACCCTAAGAAACTATGAACTGTCTCAGTAGATTTACCTATTCTGTATTTCATATAAAGATCATACAAAAAAAACAACCTCCAACAACAACAAATGAAACACAGAAACACTTCCATCCAAAAGAAAAGCAGAAAACAACAGAAACTAGACCAAATGTCAAATGGGTCAAATGGGAAAACAAATGATAATATGTTACATTTTAACCTAACGACCTCTGCAGCCATCTACTTTCCAAAGTGCTGTGTATGAGGGCCAGGCTAGTCACAACCCTGGTCCATGGTCAGAGCCCAAACTGATGTCCAGCCCAACGCTTGGACCTCGCAGCCTCCTGTGCTTCACCCTGTGTTCAGGTCCCTGCTAGCAGTTCTTCCAGCTGCTTTACATTTTGGAAAGGTGGGGGGAGGCCACATATCTCTAGTCCCAGCCTGAGACCGGCTACCACTTACAGTATTTCCATCCTTCTTCTCTTCTGAGAGACACCACCCTCCCTTGTACAAAGCAAAATGTAAAGCCCTGAGAGAAAGCATTATCAATGGTGATGCTGGAACAGTGGCTCTGGGCAGAACGGAGCCCAGCATCATTGTGAAGGCTGCCGCTTAGGCTGAGGATAAGAAAACACATCTCTTTGCTTTGTATGCTGGGAGCATGGAGATCATAAATGCCGGCATTCCAAATAGCTTGCTCGCTGCTAGCAGATTCACTGGAAGTAAAATCTTTTTTGTGTTCTCCTAAGAGATGCCTAGCTTTTATTATATCTTCACTCGTGGTCAAAAGACATCAGCAAATGTACGAACGTGACTGCAGCTATTCTTCTGAAGGCGTTTGTAACGCTCCTACTCTTTGCCCTCACTCTTTTGTAAGCGAGCTTGTCTTCTCAGAAACAAACAGCCCAAATGGGCTTTACGCTCCAAAGCGCTGGGATGGTTGCACCAAATCCAGGATGGGAAAAAACCAACCCCAAACAACCAACACAGACAAAACCAGCCTGAAGGTGATCAAAATCTCCCCCTAAGACCATCTCTGAGACAAAGCCGACCACCAAAACAGACTCGCCACTCAGAGAACCTTAGCACCTACTGCACGATGTGTCCATACAGTCTCGCCTTCATCTCTAGAACTGGACTCTCCACAGTGCAGAGACCGTGGTATGTGTTCAACAACTCTCTGTTGCATTGATAAACGATAACCAGTTACCATTTCCATCCGGGAAGTTCTGACACATGGCAACACCAGGTGTGACCCAGTACGACTTTGGCCCGTGAGGTTTTCAAGGGATGGTTTGGAGGAGCTAATAGGTCGTCAGGCCAGTTTTCTCATGCACCTCTGGGTGGGTCTTAACTGCTAACCTACCAAGACAAGCACTTAACTATTTAGGACACTCAGAGCCTCCTAATGAACAATACATCCCATCCTCTGAAAGACCAGAGCTCTACTGATGCCCTAGTTGACCCCAACTGGTACTGCAAGCTTGCCACGTGGGAGGCATGCAATATATCCTGAAAGACTGGCACCGAGACTCATCAAACCTGTAGAAAGAAGGCCTGCCACACCTGAGCTCCGGAGCAGCAATCGCGACCGGCATTGTTTTCCTCCCTGGCAACCACACACCTGACAGATGACATTCCCCATCGGCAACCGCTCTCCTGGGTGTACTTGGGCTCATGTACTTCTCAGTGTGCTCGTACCATCTCCAACCCCCCACCTCCCACGCGAGCAAATCCATCAGTGCACAAATAAATAAGAAAGCCCTTCGTACAGGAACATTCTGGAGGCCTCTGCAATTTATTGAGACAGGAAATCATCCACCACTTTGGGGCTTCAGTCAGTCAGATGGCAGGTGGTTCTGAGAGACGGTAGGTAGGCTGTGCACCATTCTTGTGGCGCCATCCCTCGCCAACAGTGCCCAACCCTCTTGCTGTCACCTTAATGATGGCCAGAATTACAGGAAGGGAAACTGGTTGGCCCCTCAACTGACTCCCCCAGTTCTTGTGCACTACCTCCATAAGTATTATTCAACATATGCCGTGTTCTGGAATCTGTGGATATAGGAAGTAAGAAGAGAAGGTTCTAGCATACCAAGTCCGAGGACGCGTCTCAATAGAAAGCATCTCTGAGACTCACTAACCCCGTTTCATTCAACTCTGTGTTCTCCACCAAGGGTGGACATGCCACCTGGATCTTAGAGAGATCACCCTCACTCTTGGACATACCAACCACCTTGCCAAGTGGGTGACCTTCCCCACCCACCTGGGGTTTCCAGCATCATGCCCACAGGGAAGATGAGGAAGGAGCGGACTCACCACGCCACCCCCAGCCGAGTGCACAAGCACAGACATCCCCTCCTGGAGGTTGGCCACTTCGAAGAGCATCATGTAAGCTGTGACGAAGTTCATGGGGAAGGCGGCAGCCTCAGAGAAGCTCATGTCATCGGGGATCTTGTAGACAAACTCCACTGGCGTGCACACCACCTCTGCCCAGGCGTTGTAGTTGACAAAGGCCATGACACGGTCGCCAATCTGGGCATGGGGAAGCACAGGGTTAGAGGAGACACCAAACTCGATGCCATCGAGTCGATTCTGACTCACCGACACCCTGTAGGACTGCCCTGAGGCTATACATCTTGATGGGAGCAGAAAGCCTCATCTGTCTCCTGCAGAGAAGCTGGTGGATTCGAACTGGTGACTTTGAGATGATCAGCTCAATGCACAACCCACTACGTCCACATTACAAAACATCGTTGTTCCTCTTAACTCAGATCCTGATGACCCAAATTCCCCAGCATTTTATAGATGAAAAAACAAAAACCTTGGTGAAATAAATGACTTCTTAAAAATATATATTTACAGTAAAATAACAACACTGAGACTGAAGTTTCCCAAGTGTACAGGTGATTTCATGACGGTCAACAGCTCTCTATTTCCTGCCCATCCATCCCCATCATGATTCCTTCCTCCCTAGAACCAAGGGCAACAGTGAGAGTTCATTCCCCTCCCTGAAACGCTGGGAACGATAAGGTGGTAGTAGGAGGGGAGGGGGGCTCAGCAAGTCTAATGAAGGCACCAAACATGGGGCTCAACCTCCCTCCCCTGTCAAAACCACCTTCTTCCTGGCCAACCTCTGGTCTTCTCTGAGGGCTTCTTGGTGACTGTAGTCTCCACACAAGGATGCAGGACTTGTCTCCTGGTTGGAATGGATTTTTTTCCTCGCAAGAGGTTTTTCTATATGCACCCTTTGAGCACAATCCAGAAACTACCATCCTCTGAATACGAACAATGTACCAAGAAGAAAGACCTGCGGATCTTCTCCCCAAAACTAGCCAAAGAAGACCTGGTGGAGCTCATTGGTCG